AAATAAATTTATTTTCACCAAAACAAGTTGTCTTTGTGAGTTTTATTTAGCTTTTGCAAAGGGGTGAAACAAAAAATACAGAATGTGGCAGCAGCCTGCGTATTTGGCCAAGAAGAATTACAAGCACAGAGGTTTGGCCTCAAAAGTAAAAATGTGGTGGGATTTACAACTGTGTGATAGACTGCACTGCACAAGCAAATATTTCAGCATTTTCATGTTTTTCTACATTAAAAATACAAAGAATTCAGTGATTTAATAACTTGTGATATGTATCACTGAAAGATTCAGAGAACGAAGAGAAACCTCTACATGCAAATAAACAGGTGTTAGTTTCAGACCATGGGGCAACGCTGTAGAAGACAAAACGTTGTGGTAATTATTAGATGAGCTCAGAAACACTATTTGAACCCTGTGCAAACCAAGTGCAAACCTGTGAATTTAGCAATAGCAGCAGCAGTACACTGTATTCAATTTTGTCTAGAGCTAATAATCACTCACAGTAAGTTTCTGGTTTGCAACAGCAGTGCTTTGTGCTAAACGCTAACCTGACTGTGCATAAATACGCTCAATGAAAACATGAAATCACAATTTTTAGTGTAACATTTCCGTCCCCTATTTTAGGCAGTCGTCCTTTGCTTTTTAGCAATATACAACAAAAGTGTCCCGGTGCTAAAGTGAATTAAGGCATTAGTTGATTTTGTGTCATAAATAAAAATCTCAACTGATGGTGGCACAGGAAATTAAAGGATAAACTCTACTGAAAAGTAAATGAGCATCAAATTTCATGATAATCCATTCAATTTTACTAAAAGCCTGAGTATCAGCCAAGGCTGTTCTAAAGATAAAGTCGGGGGATGATCTGAGGATCCATTGTCTAGGCAGCATGGGTGTCCAATCTACTCCAGAGTATTTGTGGAGCTCTAAATTGCTCTGGCTGCACACTCTCACAGCATACTATCGCTGAGCGCACATGAACTGCTGTTGGAAAACTACACTGGCTGAGCCTGCTTTTTCTGTTTTGTCCAAGCTGATGGAGTGCACATTGCCCGTGGCTGTTGTGCCCTTAAAATACACTCTCTAAGCAATTTCTTAATACCTACACAACCCCTCTGCACACATAGTTGCAGAAAGTTGTTGCACAGATGGAAGTGATGCAAAGAAACTGGGGAAAATAAAAAATTAACTCTAGGACTGCCTTGCAGGTTCAAGAGTGGACAGCCAGTCAGATTCATACAAGACATTCATTTCAGTTAGCTGTTGTGTTGAATCACGTTATTGGTTGATAACACCGTAACATACGATGTGTGTCACTGCTGATTAATACATTTTTCAGTTGAATGAAAAGTAAAATGGTAGACCTGGTATGTTTGCATCATGTAGTGGTTGCCATAAAAGACATAAAAGTTGATACTTTTAATACCAAACACACTGAGTATTAAATGCAGGCAGTCTGACAGCGGTAAGAAATCTGTTCATTCCTTTCACGGCAAAAACTTGTTAAAATAGGACAATACTGTAGTCATCGGACCATCTTCACCTCCTGTGTAATAATAGATGAAACAACCTATCAGACACACACCAGGGGTGACAAAGAGAATTGTTGTTAAGCCAACTGAACCCATCAGACTTGTGGTTCTGACAGTAGGTTTCCTTTGGATCCTTTTTGGATATATTTTTAAGATGACATGTCATACATACACTGACAGGACAATTAATATTTAAAGAATTATTTGGGCTTACTTTCAAAATATAACTTGAATATATTCCTTGAATTTATTCACACTTGAGAAGAGAAACAAATAATTACTGCCAAACCATGACGTGACACGACAAACAGCGAGCGTTTTGTTAAAAAGAAAGAAAAGAAAGAAAAGAAACTGAGGAAGATTAAACCTGGCAAATTAGGGCTTTCAACCAGCTGCCATACTAAATTTATGACAGAAGGGGGCAGAATCAGGTCATTCATATAATTAAATAATCTTGATGTGATGCCTCAACTGGTTTTCCTCATGTTTCCTAATGTGTGACACTCTTTTCCCAGGGGGTGTGGACTTTGTGATTGAGGTTCTAGTTCAGCTGGGACTAAACTAGAACTACACGGTTTGCAGACTGAGCTGTATATCCACATGTTTTAGAGACTGATGTGTGGGAATGGGGGTGAAAATTAGCTGGACGGGATGACGGAGAGAATCTCTTTCCATTCCCTGGCTCCTGATTTCTTTATCTGGCTCACTGACCTGTGGCCACAGTGATGATCTTGTCTGCACGGAGAATTGAAAGATCACCAGATCTCATTTTAGATTGGCCGCCTTTACTTGGTGGCTGCACACTCAACAAGTCATGTATGAAGCAGGTTGAGCGCAAACGATTGGGGGAAAGAGGGCAGCAGACCAGTGCATGGGGAAAACCCATTTCATAGCAAATGGGCTTTTCGCCGTCACGCAGACACAGACACAGTATCAGGCACAGCCGCTGAGACCAGTCAGCACTACGCTGTCAGCCCGTGTCAGCTCCCGGTTCCCCGTTTGTCTCTTTATGTCTGTCATCTTTATATCAAGAGACTAAAAATACAGCTGGAGACCTCAAACTGTTTCCTAACTCGGTTCAAGACAAATCAATCAATCACTGGGACATGTCCAATCTTTGTGAGTGTTAATAATCTTAATATCAGTGGTTTGCAAATGAACTGTTACCTCCTCATACATCATCAATCACAGTCTCTCACATCTTTTAAATACAACTGTACACCACAAATGCTGTTATCAAAAACTCAGTATTCTCTGTTATCATTTCAGTGGCCTAACTGTTTACAGTGAGCTAAACCAGTGGCTATTTAAGACAGAGCCATGGGTTTAAAATTGCAAAGAGAAAATCTTAAATGGAGAATTCTGCAGCTTTTAAAGCATTTATCAAATTTGATGTGTTATCCTGTACCTGCACCCTTTTTTAAAAAAAATGTCTTGATTTGAAATCTAAATGAATTTGGAAAATTCAAAGAGTGAGTTTTCTAGGAGTTTGGCTAAAGACATCCCAATTTGACACCCACTAAAGTGTCTCCCCTGAGTCTTTATATTCCACAGCAGAGGCAACAGACCGAACTGTATGAACTGCCTTTTGATTGTCTCGTCTCTACAATGGACCTGCTGAAGCCAGCTACAGTGGTGGTAGGAGCTATTTAGTTTGTTGATTAAAAAGCAGAACTCATCAGAGAGCTGTATATTTTAAATTTAGTTTAAAATATCCAAACCCTGTTATTTAGTTTATCTCCTCGTTTCAATTATTTTACTAACTGCATTATTTTAAAAGAGCAGAGAAACACCAGGAGGCTCTCATATTTCATAGAGCCTGTTAAAGGACCAGCATGCATGAGGGGCCTATTTTTTCCAGAGTAATAGAACCCACAGGACAAACTATTTTTTTTTTTGTTCTATTGTTTGCTTGCTCGCATTTGATAAATAACCCAGAAAACCTATAGAACAAGTTTGTAATAGACTTCTTTTGCCCAAGTACGATACCCACAGTGCATCAGTGCCTCTTAAGTTAGGTTTGACTTTGGGGCACAGTTCAGCCTGCAGCTGACTCGGGACATGGAGCTCAATTAATGCGATTACGAGACTTTTTTTTGCTTCTCAGAAATATTAAACCAGAGCATCCATTCTGTTTAACTGTGAAATTTTAATTTCATGCTTTAAAGAGCACAAATTCAGGTGTGAAATGAGCTGATCTCTTACCTTTTTTTTCTTCTTTTTTTCTTTAAGTTTCATCTTATTCGGTTTAGTCAGCATGCAAAATGATCATGTATTGATCTTGGCCTAAAGACTATTCACCCGTTTAAAGTACAAAAAAATGTACTCTTTTTTTTACCCCTTCAGGAACACATGTATGAGAAATATCTGCAGCAATTAAGCAATTTTCAACCACCAACATTGCAACGCTGGGAGATAACATCTGCTGCATTCAGGGCACTCTGCGGTCGACTCCAATTTAAGAAGCAAATTTCTGCTGTGCCCAGCAGTGATTTTGATTAAAACAGAAAAGCAAATCCATTTGCGATGGCCCTCATACTCCTCCCCCCCATCCCAGCCTGCATCCTAACAAATGGTGAGACACAACCGTAAGCTTTCTCTTGTGTATTACACCATGCACACTCAATTATTCACCCCAGTCTATTTTTCTTTACAAAGTGTGAATTGTATTTCTTTTTGGGGGGTTGAGAAACTGAACCAATTCAGAAACAAATGATGCAGACCTTCTCAAATGAAAATGATTAATGCGGAGAGGATAGTCAGCTGCTTCTTTGCATTAATCAGTTAATAAAGCACATTTCATAAAGGAAAAAACACGGACTGGTCTGTTAGTCATGTTGTTTTGGGTGGAAATAATCAAGGAGGCTTGATATTAAGACACAATTTCTGTTTACTTGTTTTTCAAACTGCGACACTGTCAAAAAGAGAAGCCACATGACAAACGACTGCAAACACGTGACATTTATTTCCAAGATGAAAATCCGTGTTACCAGTGGCTGATGAATCTTATTGATAGCTACTCAGACACATCTCGATGCCAATTTTAATCTAAGCTCTTTGGACGCTTGGCTTGTTTTATCAACACCTGCTTTATCAGTTCATAATCAGGCAGCATTATTCAGTGGAGATTTTCTATATTTATTGTGTGTAGGTGCGCAGTGTGTGATTTCAAGTGGGGGGATGAGTGCATTTGATGCTCGAATGTAACCTGAGAGAGGGCAGCAAAGAGCCATATGTTTGAACAGATTGATTTAACAGTTTCATGCTTTAATCAGAAGCTGTGTTGGATCGACTCAAAGACAAATCTGGTCCCCAGGACAACTGCAGCATCTGTTTGAAGAACACTGCTCTGACACAAGGTGCCTGATTAGCACAGATAAAGTCACCAGTCGCTTAATGAAGCACTTAACAGCATCCTTTGTAGATATTATTACCAATTCCAGTACGAACAAAAGTAACGCTGCACTGAGCATGTGCTGTTGGTCATATGGATTCTTTATTGTCATTTACAAAGATACAAAAGTCAGCTGACTCAGTTGTTTGCTGATCTTTCCTGGGATGTAGATGCTGTGTTGTGTGAATTCATTACTCTCTTACTCTCTCCTGATGTTACTCCAAACTTTTGAACACAGGGAACATGCGCACGTCATCAATGTGTTTAAATATACTCTCATGTGAGTCACTGTCAGTGGTGGGCCAGAAAATAAAAATGACACACGCTGAGGTGTTTCCTGGGTCTCGAGCGTTACATGAATCTGCCGCGTGAGTCATTATGCCGATGTCGACGAGGAAAAGCAGCATCAGTCTCCTTGTCCTCCCACTCTGTCTCTTGGAATGAGGCGAAGCTCTGAGCCGTGCTTCAGAAACACATTCCCTGCAACACAAGGCAGAGCACTATATAAAGATCATGGTTCATAATCAGTGTGTTTTAATAAGGGGTTTTATTGTCACCAAAGCTGCCAACAACATGTCAACTCACCAGCTGGGAGAGAAACTTGACAAAAAAGCATGCAATCTCTGACTCAAAGTCTTGGATTCGATTACAACTTGCACACAGATTCAGTCTTCACACAGACGCTTCGAGCTGGAACGATCACTAAACTGACAGATGAAAAAAATCCTAGTGCCTAATTTTCAGCTCTTCAGTCAGCCTACATAAACCAATTATTAAAAAAAGAAAGAAATGGATGTTAACAAGAGCATGCATTTTAAGCAGTTCTTATTGGCATATGTGCACCTTTGCCATTTTCCAAAAGAAGTGTGATTTTAACCTTAGAAAGCATGTCGGGAAAAAAAAGAACTTGACAGATTGATTTCCACCATCTCAGTCCTGTAAACAGGAGGTGGAGTGGCTGCAGTGGGTGAAAAAAAGCCAATCGGACAGAGGTTTCTGAACTGCTGCTATTCTTGGCAGCACAGCGCATGAGTGTAATTCAGATAAAAAGCTGAATGCCCACCAATGTCCTTCCTCAGCAGAAGAGACCCAATGCATAAGGAGAAGTAGGCCAAACTTCTACAGTTCTGATCACATTCAACATATAATATAAATGTGACAAGATCTCCGAGTATGACCAGTGGTGATGAAGTCCTGCAATTCTTTGTAAAGAGACTGGCTGAATGATTAGTAAGATTTTCAATACTTGCTTATCAAGGTAGCACTGTGACATCTCTGCCCTCCCAAATTCACATCTAACTTGTAAGAGCCAAAACCAATCAACACTATTTTTTTTTTTTAAGTAAATCAAAGACAACCTCATTAAAAACAAATTTCAGCTACCAAACAAATGGAAGATTGTTCAGGTGGCTGCAGTAGACTCAGATCAGTTAGACAGAGAACATTAATATCAGGCTGCACTCTCTTTTGCCTGCAGAGCTGTCTTAATTCTTCCAAGTCATAGATTTAACAAGGTGCAAAAAACATTCCCTAGAAAATTTTGGTCCACCTTGACATGATGCTATCAGACAATTGTTGCAGATTGGTTGGTTCATAACTCTCCCATTCCATCACATCCCAAATATACTCTATTGTATTTAGATTTGGTGACTGATGAGGCCATTTAAGAACAGTCTACTCATTCGAATGTTCAAGAAACCAGCTGAGAGGATTGGAGCTTTGACATGACGTGTTATCCTGTAAAGTGTGCATGTTAGTCCCCATAGGGAAATAGTTCCTCTGCATTTAACCCATTCACCCAGTGAAGCAGTGGGCAGCCACCAGTGCAGCGCCCGGAGAGCAGTGTGTAGGGATGGTACCTTGGTCAGGGGTACCTCAGGGTAGCCGTTCAGTGGAGTTGAACCCCCGACCTTCCGATCATGGGGCCACCACTCTACCTACTGAGCTATCCCTGCCCCCTTCCTGCTGGAAGCAGCCATCAGAAGAACAATACACTGTGCTCATAAAGAGATCAGCAATGCTCAATAAGCAATGCTCAGTTGATACTAACAGCTCCAAAGTGTCCCAGGAAAATATCTCCCCACCAACACCAGCTTGAACCACTGAAAATATGCAGTGTGGATCCATACTTTCATATTTATGATACATTCTTACCCGGCCATCCGAATACTGCAGCAGAAATCAAGACTCACACCAGGCAATGCTTTTCTACATACCTTGGTTGTAACAAACCTTTACTTGAGATACTGTCGACTTCTTATCTGCTCAAAGCAGTCTGGCCATTCTCCTCTGACCTCCGGCATCAACAAAGCATTTTCACCCACACGTGAAATATCAAGTGATACTCAAAGCATTTCTTCTCCCTTTCAGACCATTCTCAGTAATCCCTAGGCTGTGTAGGAAAATCTCAGTAATCAGCAGTTACTGAAATACTCAGATCAGCCCCTTCTGGGACCAACAACCATGCCCCAAAGTCACCTAAATCACTTTTCTTTTCCTGTTCCTGATGTTTGCTCAGCAGTTTGTCTTGATCATGTCTACATCCCTATAAGCACTGAGCTGCTGCCATGTAATTGGTTGATCAGAGATTTGCATTATTGGACAGATAAACAGTTAAACCTAACAAAGTGTCTGTTGGATGTATATTTGATGATGCTGTAGCTAATAAAGTTAAACACTTAATGTGCTCTATATGCAACTATTGTACTCATATTCTAAGGTAGCGCAGATTTGTGATGGGACTCTCATTGTCATGTTAGATTCAGGTGCATAATAGTTTGCAATAACTTGAGAACAAGGCAAGAAAACAGTTAATTTTATTTATTAATATGTAAAAACAGACTTAAATGACCCAAATTTAATTAGAAATGACTGATCACAAAGTGAGCAAGAAAATACAAGGTAATTCTTACTGTATATTCTTGCTCTCTTTCTGGAACCATGCACAGTTACATCCCATTGAGTATTAGCAGAAATACTGGTGGTGACCAGTGGTAGCCCCCAGGCTCCCAGTAGATGCACCTATGGTTTCAATTTCAAAATCCTATCTTGCCTTGTTCTCAAGTTATTGCATTTGCAAGGTTTTCAGAAAACGACCGCTGACCTTCAGGCCAATGTCACTGAGATTTGAACACGTCCGAGATATAAAGCATAATGATTCATACTTTGTTCAAGAACTGTATTAATTGCTTAGGCTATTTATGATTTGACAAAAGCAGTCTGACAAGTGTCAACAAGCTTAAAAGAAAGCCCAGAGGTCATTTGCATATTAATACAACAGATGGAGAACATGTCACCTTAAATCATCTTGAGGATCAAAGTATTTCTAATACTTAAAAAAAGAAAAGAAAAAAGAAAAACATACATAAGAACACAAGAACTCACCTGCAGTCTGAGCCGGGTTGATTCCTATTCCATCTGCAAAGCAAACATTAAAATGAGAATGTAAACACAAAATGCAGAAAATACAAGAAAAAAACTGTTATCCAAAAGACAAGCAAAGAAATAAGAAATAAAATTTATTCAATAACTGCTTCATTTGTAATAACAGTTCACTCAGCAGCACAACTGATAGCAAAGAGATCTATCTGGAACAATGACAGACGAGCCATTTTTCTTTTGATAAATTTAAAACTTATCTTTGAACGTATCATCACTTCAGTCATTTTAACACAAACCTTATCTTTATGTTATCTGTCAACACAATATGTCCCCAAGAAAGTAATCTTCCTGTGATTTAAAATACAATTAAGTTCACTAGTCTAACCCTGTCAGAACAGAGCAGAAGAAAACGACGTTGCCAGCAATCTGCTCTTCGATTGCTGGAGTACAATGAAAAAGCCAACAATTTTTCTCCTAACACCCATCAAGGCAATTTAGTGTCATTTGCTCTGGTAATTTCTAAGAGTGTGGCTATAAGATCAATAACGTGTTGTGTAACTGGAGGAATCCAGCTGAAAATTTAGGCTCAGATTATTTCAGACATCCATCTGTTCGGTATGTGTTCTGCCTTTTAGAAAAGAATCTGTTGACCTAACAACTTATTGCATGCCCGAGAAAGTACTTGCAGAGGTTCAATATTTTACCTGAAAATGTATTTTATTGATACTTTTCATATCTTGTCTTGTCTTTGAGAGTTGGCTGAAATGACAGCAGCACAAACATTTATCCAAGCATGCATTTTACTTGTCCTACTCACACTCTGTGGACAAACTGCTCACTGTCAAAATAAATACAAAGGTAAGTGGCACAGAAACTTGTGCAACTGGTTTGTCATGAATACTTGAACATGAAAAGACATTAAAAATAGCTTAGTGTTGTACTTTTCTCGTTCATCCAGCAAATCTGTTTTCCGGAGTCAGGCTAATGGTTCTGAATTTGAAATCATACTTGTATGTAATTTTAAACTTTTTTCCTCTGGTTATAGAACCATGTTTGTAGCATGACTTCACTGAATTCGAGGAACTGATGTTGGATTTTAATGTGACCTAGTTTTCAAAAAAAAAAGTTGAACGTTTTCTTTTCTTTCGTATTCTTCACACGTGGTTGCAGTGCTTTACTGACAGAAAGTGTAGTTGGTTTATTTGAAAGAACTAACTGTGGAAACTGTTGACCAAGTGTGAAATAAATAAATAAATGAAATAAATGAAATGAAACGTTGTTTCTTAAGGTTGAAACAAGTTTAAACATTCAAAAAAGATCTAAGAATAAATTAAGAAATAGTTTTCAGTAATCACTACTTGAATTACTAGTATGTTAATATTCAAATAAAATAAAAATGCGGGTGTTTTCTCTATTGGTGCAGGGGTTTATTTGATTGAACAGTTTCTCTGTGTATAATTGTGCAAAAAATAAAATCATTGTTTAAATAAAAAAGGCTGATTTTCATTTCACTTCTAATGACTTCTTGTTTTAATATAATTTATATATTTACTTACCTACTGAATGCTTGCCTATTTTGGTAAACTGAAGTGCTAAAAAAAATAATCACGTTTCACCTAAATATGGAAGTAAAAATAAAAAATTTTAATTGCACTAATTTACAACTTTGAACTCTATTTCTGTTTTATACACACACTAATTAGATGAATCCCCTCTAAGGTGAAGCTTTAGACTGATTTACTTTATACAGATCACACAAAGGGTCTTAACACAAACTGGGAGAAGCTATGCAAAACTTCTGCTAGTGGAGGATGCAGGATTCAGTGTTACTGAGTCCTGATGGCCTAAAACTGATATGCTTTAAAAGTACCAAGTAAAACGAAGATTAATTTAGCAATGAAAACCTCAGAAAGTGGACTTAAATTCAACCTTTTTTATAAGGTGCTCGTGAAATTACAGACACCTCCCATTTACTGTCATAAGAAATACAGTCGGTGAAAAACTATTACAACAATGCAAAGTTTAGGAAATATTTTATACGGATCTGTCTTGGCTTAAAAATAGTCAAAATACTGACAGAACATTGTTTTTATTTATTGAATATATCTCAAATTATTTTTACTTAAACACTCAGCTACTTTATTAGTTACTCCTTACTGGTACCAGGTTGACGTTCAGTTTTATTTGCTGTGTTCTCCTGTTTTAAGCAAGAAGATTTATACACTGCTGTCACAAAAGGGAGGGTGTGATCAGCAACAATTACTCTGGTAAGCTGTGGCATTTAAACAATTTAAAGGGCCCAAAGCGTGCCAAGAAATTATGCCCCACACCATCACCACCACTAGCCTGAACCTTTGATATGAGGCAGGAAGCTTCAGTAATGTTTATACCAACTGCTGACTGCATCAATTTAACATTGCAGCAGAAATCCAAAATTGGAAGATCAGGTGTCATTCGTCCGTACAATTTTGTTGAGCTTGTGTGAACTGCTCAGCTTTTTTTTTCCACAGCTGGTAGGAGTAACACCCAGTGTTGTCTTCTGCTCCTCTTAAGGATCAACTTGTCACACTTTCAGAGATGCTCTTCTGCACATCTTGGTTCTAACTAGAGATGGACCGATCCGATATTACGTATCGGTATCGGTCCGATACTGACCTAAATTACTGGATCGGATATCGGAGAAAAATTAAAAAATGTAATCCGATCCATTAAATATCACGAAAGCACCTCACAAAACTTGCAACACGCCGTAACTCACCTCAGAACGTTAGCACGTCGGAGCAGTATGCATCACGTGATAGAGCGGCTGTGGCATGCGGGACCTGTCGGTGGTCTGGATAGCATTTGGAGCTTCGCTAGCAACCCGGCATTTCATCTCCGACAAAGTTATCCCGAGAGAAGTAAAGCAAGTGTGTAAGTCCATCTCTGAATGTTTGTAAAGCATTCCTGCGTTAAGCTTAACAAGCGACTGCCTCTCCTGCTGCTACTTCAATCATGAAACTGCTTAACGATCAGCTGATCGGCTTTTCTGTCGCGAGTCCGTGTCTCTAGTTTGCTTTTGGCCCACTTTGCACCAGAAAGAGGAAACCAGCGGCTGAACAACAGCAGCACGTTTAAGCTTGATCAGCTGTTGTTAGAATGTATTTAATATTACTTTCTACTCGAGGATCTTTTTCTACGTAGCTGACGGCTGGTAACTGTGCAGGGGCGGATCTAGCAAAGTTTAGCCAGGGGGGCCGATAGGGCATTAACAGGGAAAAGGGGGCACAAAGACATACTTTTCTTTCTTATTCTCATTTAAAATGTCTAGCTTTTAATAAATAATTATCTGACACCCAAAGTTTTAATTTGATGTAAAATGAATAGAAGTCAATTACTGTATATAGTAACTATTAAGTCTAATATATATACCCTAGTAAGCTATAGTACTTTTTCCTTTGGGAAGGTACCATCTGTGCAGTCTGCAATTTTGTTGAAGAAAGATGTTGAATCTATTTAATTATTCTTGAAAAATAATTGATTTCTGTGCATTTTTTTTCACACTGCATCAAATTAAGGTTGATTACGTCGATTAAGCATCATGAGGTAGAGCGTGAGGGGTGGTTCCCTATTTTTTATTTATTTATTTTTGTTGTTGCTGGGAGTTGGAACCCTATTAGTTAGGTTGCTTAGTATTTATGCTAAGTACTCTTTAAAATACCAGAATAGGGAGGATGGTGTAGGTTTAAATTTATTAGATTGATCAGTATTGCTGAACTATGAAATTTTTTTTTTTTTTGCATACAGGTATAACAGAATAGCTTTAGTGTAGTTGTTGTTTTAAACTTGAGTATGAACTTGTACAAAATGCAGCAAGATATTTAAAAAACAGTTTTGTTGATTAAAAAACACTATATCGGATTCATATCGGTATCGGCAGATATCCAAATTTATGATATCGGTATCGGTATCGGACATAAAAAAGTGGTATCGTGCCATCTCTAGTTCTAACAAGAGATTATTTGAGTTACTTTTGGTTTCCTATCAGCTAGTAGAAATCTTTTTCACCCAGAGACACCCCGCACCCAAATTCTGATCCTTATTTTGAACTTCAGCAGGTCCAGTCTTGACCATGACCACATGTCTAAATGTATGTTTGATGAGATATTCCCATTACATTATGTTTGCTTGCTTTTGGTGATCAATATATCATTATATGTGACTTGACAGTACTTCAAGCATCAGCTTATTTCCAGACCCGCTGTGTAGTTCAAAGACCACAGCAAGCACGCCTTCACTTGGATGCATCTTCCACACATCCTTCCAGCTTTTTGTTGACTTCAAACCTGCCTGTCAAAACACTTGGCTTGTAAAAGCACGAGACTCTCTGTAACCATAAAATGGTTCCTAATAACTCGAGTTCACTTGGAACATCAAATAAATAAATAAATAAATAAAATTCTGTGTACTCACCATTTGTTATTATTGCACTGGTTGCTGACGGCACTTTAAACTGGAAGAGAAATTGAAGCAGATACCAATGTTAACATTAAAAGTGAATTTCTCAACAGAAGTTAGCATTTGACATTTCAGCAGCACTAATCCATTCTAGTTAAATAATCAGGGACATGTTGCTCCCATATTTCACTTGGCCTGAAGACAAAGTGTGAAACTAAAACTACCATGAAAGACAGCTTCATCTACTGAGTCAGCGTGCTGCCGTTCTCTGACTTTATTGGGTAACAATTTCAAAATAGAAGCGAGAGCTACTACACGATGTCTTCACTACCATAGTGAGTAAAACAAGCAAAAATGAAAAACTCTTTTGTTTTTGTCCTTTGTCTCCCAACTTTCACGCTTGTCAGACACACAAGTGTTTTGCGGTTTCACACAAAAATGCACCTGAGCACACGCACACATTCAAATAAACACTTTAGAGAGGGCCTGTGGGAAAGATAGCCACGCTTGAATTTCTGGATGAAAATCACTCAGCACGGTTACAATACATGTCCTACTTCAGTGTTCGGCAGAAGAGGATGTGGGCTGGTGGGGATTTGCTGCAAACGGGTGGAGGAAGCAGTCTGTCTCCAGGGAGATAAGGTTAGCAAAGTGCTGCTCACCAAACTACTGGCTTGTGTAGCACAAGCAGCACACATGAAACAGTTTGATCAGAGACAAATGGGAGGTGATGAGCTTTGTTTTTGTGGCAGAAAGAAAAAAAAAAAACTCCTAAAGGATTAAATATAGCATATAAATGAGTTTGAACCACCCGCCTGGTTGGTTGGTTTATGACAAAATATTTAACATTATATCTGAAAGAAAATAAAATCATTTTATTCTGCCAGTTGAACCATAATAAAGAAAATGTAAAATATAAAGCTACTAACACAAAAGCAAAATCTGTGTTGATGAATAAATAAATGTAAGTGAACAAGGCAGCAATATGAAGCCACTCCAGGAAACTACTCCCATGGCTAAGTAATTCAAAGGCTAACTTTTGTGGGAAATCAATGGTGAAATCTTTGTCGTTCTACTTAACCATAACTGTATTCTCCTCACAGTCAATTAACTTCTAGCAGCACGTATGTTCATTGCATGCAAATTTGGGGATCACAATGTGAAAATTATGTTTCATTAGTTTCCTGGTTTGTAACAGAATAAGATTAATACCCTGTCAACACACTGAGAAGGAGCACATCTGCAGCCGCAGCTTTACTCATTCATTAGGATGATTTAAGCCGCAGTACTGCTGCGTGTTTATGCACAGAAAAGGGAAGAAAATACACTTCAAAGGCTAAAGAGAGGCTTTCGGTGACAGCAGACGGCTCTATTGATTAAAATATAAGTGAACCCGTTGTGTCAGACTGAAAAACGTGGCTGAAAAACACATCCAGTGCCTGAAACACTTACTGCAACAAGACTTCATTTTAGTCTATTAAAAGGTACAATTGTTTATACTAGAATTTTGTAACTATAAATAGATAAATGTTGAATAAATGTTGCAAGGGTATGTCACAGTCAAAACCATCAAATATAAAACTGTTTTTAAATTAGCTGACATATATTTTCACATGTACCATAGATCTGTATTAAGCTGAACAGCATTACTGCGCAATGCAATTATTCCACCGTAGTCTTGCACAAAGAACAAGGAGAAACAGCTTACCTCCTCAGCTGCAAACTTCAAAACCGCTGTGAATGGTGTGCTCTCTGGGACACTTAGTCTGCAACAGACATATTAAATGGGATTTTAAAAATGCTCTAAAATAACATTTTTATTTTATAAAATGCCTACTATTTTACAGTCTTGTGAAGAAGAAGGTTTACACAGATCTATTAGAGGTGGGAATCACCATACATCCCACGATACGATATTATCACAATACTTAACGCACGATACAATATTATTGCAATTTTTAAAAATATTTTGCGATATTCAGATTCTGTACATAAAGGTAAACTTTGATATTAGATAAAATGAATATTGATAAAGTCTCCCACTCAGTCTTTCTCTCATTTCAGTCAGTTATATTGGTGACAAACTGAACGGTTTGTATTACAGTCTAGTCCAACTTAACTGAATGCAACCATCTGGTACAACTATAGCTATTCTGAACTAAGCAATTTATGAAAACTATGCAGGCCCTTCAGCAACTGAAGAATTTGAAATTAAATTAAAACAAAATATAATTTTACATTAAATAAAAAAAGTTTTAAACTTAATTAAAATAAAACATGTCTTAAATTAAAATAAGTAAACTGTCATGTTTATTGCTGCCAAAAAAAAAGTTAAAACACATTTGGACAGTGAAGGAATGTCAGGATTCTTGCTCAGAAAAAGGATCAACATGCTCTGAAGTCAGAGCACAAAAACCTTTTTTGTAACAAAATATCGATTTCTGCTGTCCCTGTCCGGTTGTTCAGTCTGACGTCACTAGCCGTGTCTGGGTCTAAACTCCGCTGCAGGTCCATATATCAAATGATCACTATGGCATTACTGAGAGTTGAAAAACTGTCTAAAGTCTTTCATCTTTAATAAAATGATCAGCGTTCTGCTCTACCAGGTGTAACAATTGAGTTTAACACCCAGGCATCCATGAAAACGGTATTTATGACATTTAACGGAGTTAGAAGTTAGCAGGGAGTTAGCTCGCTAGCTTCTATCTAAATACAATATAGCATGTCCTGACTGCGGGGTTTTGGAAACAAATTAAAACGTACAGCTCTGTTATCACTTCCAGCATAAATGAAGACAGAAAACTAAACAGCAGTGACGTTTGTAGGGTTACTGAAGTTGGGCTAGCTGGTATATAATGATGTGCTACGTGACTGCTAGCGACACAGCTATGTTAGCATAATATAAACAAGCTAACTGTTTTTCCACTCGATAAAAGTTAGCGTGAGTGTTCTCGGTGGTCAGGAACAAATGTAATCGCATGGCAGGATGCTGTAAAAGGACCAAACTTCAGCCAGGAGAACAACTGAGATAATCCATCCACAATACGAGGTTAGTCATTCATATACTGCTGCATGGGCTGGGCTGTAGTTACATCCTAAGGTTTTAAAAACTGAGCTTAAATAAATGATTAGCGGTAATAAAAACAGAGGGAGGTCAACAGGGATCACTGACTGTTTTAGGAGCTTTTTGAGATCAAATAGAAGAAAATACATAACATTAAACATGTTAACAACACAAAAGCCATATTAAACGCAGACTACTTTAGACCCGGAAGTAGGATTCGTCGCGTCATCACTGAACAACCGGGTATCGATACATTATTAGCAAACAAAATATCACGATACTACACAGTATCGATTTTTTCCCCCACCCCTAAGATCTATGTAGTCTTGTGAAGAACTAACTACATCCTTACTGCTAGCATAGGAATTAAGAGGGTAAAGAGCAACCAAGTGCTACAAATCAAAACTTATCAAATGTGAGCAGCTCTATAAAAGCACAAGGTGTGTGCTACCACAATCTTCCCAGGAGTGGACATCCCCACAAACTCAGACCATGCGAAGCTCAGAGAACTTGCCAAAAATATAAGAGCAACATCTAAGACTCTACAGGCCTAAACTAACATGTTAAATGTTAACATTCCTGACAATATGGTGGAAAAAATACAAAACGAGTACACAAAAAGTAACTGACTTGGGTTGCCAGGACAGAGGCTCTTCTCTCTAGAAAGAACATGGCAGCGAAGGTTTGCAAAGCGGTATCTGAACATACCACAAACCTTCTGGAACAATGTCCTTTAGTTAAGACCAAAGTGGAGATGTTGCCCATAATGCACAGCACCACGTTAGGCAAAAACCAAACACAGCATTTCAGCACAAACACCTCATACCAACTGAGTACAGAGATGGTTTGCAGACACTGGACCTGGACACCTTGCAGTCATTGAACCAACCGTATTTTGTAAAACTAGTTTGTAAAAATATTCTAGACTCAATTGTGAGGCCAATTGTCTGACATCTAAAGCTCGGCTCAACTTGGGTCATGCATCAGGAGAATGATCCCAAGAACAGCAGCAAATCTACAACACAAAGGCTAAAAAGAAAAGAATACACGAGTTGCACTGGCCCAGTTAAAGTTCACACCTCAACATACTGGCCAGGGCTGGTCCTTAAGGGTGCATAAACAGTTACACATACAACACTGTCAGATGGATGCTTCTCAAATGAATTCTGCAGAGCAGTGCTCAGTGGGGACCAGAGATCTCCCAAGGGCAACCCAAAAACCACCAGACTCTTTAAACAGATGTGAGAGTTTTTTTTAAGTAAATAAAAAATATTTAAAAAAAAAAATCAAGGCCAGAAATGCAATTGCCAAGTAAGGTGATGCAGTGGAGATGAGCTCTAGGAGGGTGAAAATCAATTGATGTACTCAGCACTGCAGTAAAAAGAGAAAGAAGCTAAGCTTAAGCTGAATCTTCAGCCTATTTGTGAGAGTGAAAACCTGGGAGATTATAAAGATGACCTTGTGTTAACTGAGAGCCAATGGTAACCTTTTTTGAATGTCTGACAGGGCTAATGCGATACCTCATTATCATCACCATCCCTCTGCTCAAGCCATAACATTATTAGCTCCAGCAAGGTTTTCTCTGACCTCATTAAAGAAAAGACGCTCTGTCAACATGTTAAAGTAACAACAGTCTCCAGTATTTTACATCTAATTATTTGAACCTACTCATTTGAACCTTTGTTGGAAATTATGACCATGCATTATGTGACAAAAATACCATGAAAACAAAACACTCTGCAACTGCATCTTGTTTACACCTCAATTCTACAAAGGGCACATCTCTTGAAAACCTTGTGTGAAACCTTAAAATAAGACATTTGGGATTTTTTTTATTCTTAGCCTCACTATTTGTATATTTTTTCACTAGATTGACCATCAAAGAAAATTCAACTTATATATTAATCAACTTTTTGCAGCTTAATACTAGGGTTTAGCTGGGTTTCCAACCAGAAAGGACAATCTTTAATTGACATAAATTCTAATCTTGCTTTCAAACTTTGCTTTGTAATAATATAGTTAAAATATAGGGATGTCATTTGGTGCTGCTTAAAAAATGATTGTCATAGAACATGATTTTAAGATTTAAGATGTTTTGATTGTATATGTTTTTTAAGAAGTTAGCACACATTGTTTTGCTACTAACGTCAAATTAGTCCATAAAAGGTCAAAAGCTCAACAATTTAAGTGCTTTGAGACAATGTGATAGCAGGAATGTTACGCCCATACACACAAAACCAGATGACATAATCCAGTATGTAAAAAACAAAGCCATTATACTTTTTGTTAATCTAAAAGGGAGAAAACAGTGAGACATCATTTATGTAAGGTGGCACACACTGCTTAAATTAACTACATGTTGACCAATCATGGCTTACATTTTAGTTACTTTTAGTTTTAGTTAAATAAAGAAAATGTAAAAATTTTTATTCATGTAGAAAAAAATGGTTTTATTTAGGGGTTAAAGTGAGATTCGACAGGGGGAGTGCAGCATGGGGATAAGAATGACTTAGAATTAAGTCACATAATGATTTGTTTGTGAGCTCCAGTAGATTTTTCTTTGTGTATACACTTTGATCAAATGACCTGTGCTGCTACTCTATGTTCTGCTCTAGTTATATGGCTGATTGCTAACTCCTAGACACAAAGCTAATAGGTAATAGGTAAAATCCAGCAAGTGAATCCCCTTAAATATGAATTGATGTTTGCTACCCTTGATGTAACCTAGTAACAGTACTCAGGAAGCAACCAGCCCAACACATTGCATCATTCTAAATTCTATCTCAATATTGCACAATAATCAGTTTACCCTGCACTAAACTGCCTGGTATTTTATGCAACCTTTGAATAACATAAATTTAATACACTTTTTTAGTTTTGCAAGCTATTTCATGAAAGCATTGATTCAGAAAAACATTATTTATATCTTCAATATCTCATTTCAAAAATTATTAGAAATAAATTACATGTAAGATTTAAATTTCCAGTCTATAAAATTTCCCCTGTTAAGCGGTGCTTACCTTTAAAAATAAAATGTTCTAATTTAAAAATAATCTAATTACCGGTACTCATTAGATCAAGGTGCTACAAAGCTATTCAGCTCCACTTTATTCCCTTGTTTCATTCATGGGAATACATTCATAATAAGCTATTTAATAATCTATTTAAATAAGACCTGAACAAGATTTTTTCTGGTCTTTTAGTGTTCATTCTACCACTTTATATTGCACTAAAAAAAAAACCCAAACAAACAAAGATGACACAAATCAGCTGCAGAAATGGCAAAAATGGATTCAACTATGATTTCTGCATAAAATCCATGAAGGATTTCAGGTAATTTGTCAGAAACCTGAAGTTCAAGCAGAAATGGAAATGGATCTGTTTAATATGCCAAAGTGTTGCTCAAACAGAAGAACCAGAGTATTAGAAAAAAATATTGAAAACCTAGATTTGAATACTTTGTTCAAGAATACCACTTAAAATGTTAAACTCTGTATCAAAAGCTATTGAATATTCAACAATATCATCAAATTATGAAACTTATACTAATAATACTATAAAAAAATAGATTCACTAAACTTACTTTTTCTAGATTAAAAAAAGACTTTCTCATACTCTGAATTAGCATTCTATTTTTTTTAAACATGCCTGTGCTTGACTATGACAAAGACTTGGATTATAAAAAGCACACTGTGCCTTTAAGCAATGCAAAGTCAAACACCACAGCCATAACAGTCTGTCTGAGGGCTTAATGTTAAAAGGTCTGCTTTACATTTACCCTTGGCTGCTATGATTCCTGTTTCTGCTCGTCCTGTCCATGTTCTGATGTCTTTTTATCCTGCATATAGCAGGGACATCAATGCCATTTTAAAATGTGGGGCCCCAAACAGCCAACTTTTATTCAGTCTTTATTCATTCAGATCATTTTTAAAACTATAGACTCATTGTAAATACTGGAAAACCAGAAACCTTTCTGTCATTTAATCATTTATCTATTACTTTACTACTTTGATGTAGTACGAATGGCGGTCATTAATAGGAAACGCTGTAAAACTTATAGAAATACAGTTAAAAGTTTAAAATCAATTTAATAATATTTTTATGACTCTGGCTGTTTGTCAGGATTCACATATATTATACAAATTACTTTAATGAGTGCCATTTCCATTGATCACGACGTAAAGATGGTCAGGTTAATTCATAACAGACCTCATAAAATGCTGTGAAGCCACACTACAGAAAACGGAAGCCGACTGTGATTACAGTGTCAGCATCGGCACTAGCAGATGTTCACTCATTGCCCACGTGTTACGTTGCTTAATAAAAAACTACAAACACAAAATATCTGCAGTAGCCGTGAAATGTTAACTAAACGTTAAATAAAGTCGAAAATGTAGCTGGCTGACATATTAAAGCGGTGACTGCTGAGTTGTCAGTGTACTCACACTTTGTATGGTAGCCGGGGGTCCGACGTCAGGGTGATTTTAAACGTTACTTTAGACCTAATGAAGAACACACCATTACTGTTGTTAACAGACGGATACACGTGAATGCATGTGAAATATGTCCATGTCAAAATTTCACGAAAGTCCAAAAACTCACATCTTTATGGGCGAGGCGACTCCGCTTGATATCTGTTTATACAAACCCGGAAGTCAGAAGGACCCTCACGTACACGTCATCCATCTGGTGCCAAGTTTGAGAAGTAAATGTACCTATTTTAAAGTTTAATAGTTAGGTAAGTTTTTTTTCATAAATGACTAAATTTTTTCAGTTAAATTGCGTATTATTATTAAAACATAATCCATTTTATGTCCTATTAACGGACAGGCATTCATAGCAAATAGCTAACCTTTACCGTAAAGGCTGTAAACAAGACGCAGTTACTTCTGTGAGGCGCACTGACATCTTTCAGCACTGTTGTTCAACTCAATCCAGGTTCTTGACGTTAAACAAACATAACCCTCATTCAGATTGGAAATTTTCTACTTGACATGATGTTGTTGGGAAGAATTTAAGAATTAAAAAGAAAATTATTAAATCCAGATTTCCTTCACGTTTGTTTTAATGGCAGCCAGTAGAACCTACAGGTAGCTCAGTGTTCTGACTGATGCTGTGTATCTATATTGCAGTATGTTGTATATTTTCAGTCACTGTAAGACAGGATGATGAGACACCAGCCTAAGCCCAACCTGGACACAGATAAATCGACACCAACCACCAGGAACATGCCAGTGGTGCTTCTTTCTGTGAAAATAGATAGGGGGAGATATAGTAGATAGAGAGTTAATCAATAGACCTTTAATTTTAATTAGTTTGTTGCATGTATATAATTTAACATTTACAGATATCTGAGGTTTGTCATACTCTGTACACCTTCCCACTGTGCTTTGGGGATTTTCTCCCCCTAATTTTAACAATTTGATATATAGCTTTGGTGGATTAGAAAAAAGCTTTCCAAACTATGAACAGTCTGTACCAGTTAGAACGACCGTCTCCCACAGAAAACACTGTTGCTCAATTGTTTCATATGTAGTCCTGCCCTTTCTTCTGTTACTTATCTGCACCACTGTCATAATGCCCGCCTAGTGGTTGGTTTGGCAGAGCCTCAAACAAAGAAAACGGCTTCATGTCCCGATGCAGCCAGCTGCCAGAAAGCCAGAGCTGCTTTCACTAAATCTGTCTCTAAAGTGTAAAAGCTATGAGCAAAGCACAGGAACTGTTTGGCTGTAAGAGTGAATCTAAGAATCTTCATGCATTCCAGCAGAACCTCTGGATTGCTTTTATTTTTCATGAAAATGTCCCCACTACAATGGCAAAATCTCAACATATGTTTTGTGTTAGAACCACTAACACAATGTATGGTAAATGTGGCTTACACCTTATTTCCTACTTCTTTTTGTGACATTAAAATACAGCCCGATAATACTTTTGAATTTTATTCCCAATAATATAAGAGTTTCTATTGTCAAATAACATACAAATATAAAATAGTAGCACATAGCACTTTTGGACTAATGTAAACCAGCTTTCGTCTTAAGTCACTTTCCGACCTGTTGCTCTGAATTAGTAAAGTTCCTAATGAGTCTAACAAAATAAATCCACATTCAAAGACTACAATTACAGCTGATTTTACATGCAAAATATGCTAAAAGAAAGGTAGAAGTGACTTAACGTGTCTTCAGTGTGGTTAAAGCAAAAGGTGGTTGTTAGCAGTAAATAACCTTTTCTTTTCTTTTCTTAGCCTCTTTCCTGGCACTACTGATACAGTAGTAAGAAAAAGTAGGTGATACACTGTAAGCAGTGAAATGATAGCCAGCAAAAAAGATGGTAACAGACTCAATGACTCAGCGTTCCAGTGCAGACACTCAGGCAAACACCTCTGGGATTCAGTGACGAGATTTTCACAGGAAAATGTAGGGAAAAAAAGAAGTTTACTAAAAAGAAAAAACCTCACAAAGGATTAAAACTTTCATAGTAATGTATCATGGAATATAGAGGAGTGTGGCATGTGAGGAAATGAGAAACGACACAAGGATACCCGAAAAGGAAAACCCCACATAAAGCACGAGTTGCCAAAATAGCTTCAGAGCTCCTTGGCATTGATTTGTACAAGTCTATGCTGGAGGGAAAAACACAATTCTTCCAAATGATCTTCCTTAACTTGGTGTTTTAATAATGCAGAGCTGTGCCTACCCATATGGAAAAGAAATAGTAAAAACATACAGTGGGGCAAAAAAGTATTTAGTCAGCCACCGATTGTGCAAGTTCCCCCACTTAAAATGATGACAGAGGTCAGTAATTTGCACCAGAGGTACACTTCAACTGTGAGAGACAGAATGTGAAAAAAAAATCCATGAATCCACATGGTAGGATTTGTAAAGAATTTATTCGTAAATCAGGGTGGAAAATAAGTATTTGGTCACCTCAAACAAGGAAAATCTCTGGCTCTCACAGACCTGTAACGTCCTCTGTAAGAAGCTTTTCTGTCCCCCACTCGTTACCTGTATGAATGGCACCTGTTTGAACTCATCATCTGTATAAAAGACACCTGTCCACAGCCTCAAACAGTCAGACTCCAAACGCCGCCATGGCCAAGACCAAAGAGCTTTCGAAGGACACCAGGAAAAGTATTGTAGACCTGCACCAGACTGGAAAGAGTGAATCTACAATAGGCAAGCAGCTTGGTGTGAAAAAATCAACTGTGGGAGCAATCATCAGAAAATGGAAGACATACAAGACCACTGATAATCTCCCTCGATCTGGGGCTCCACGCAAGATCTCATCCCGTGGGGTCAAAATGATCATGAGAACGGTGAGCAAAGATCCCAGAACCACACGGGGGGACCTGGTGAATGACCTGCAGAGAGCTGGGACCAAAGTAACAAAGGTCACCATCAGTAACACACTACAACGGCAGGGAATCAAATCCCGCAGTGCCAGACGTGTTCCGCTGCTGAAGCCAGTGCATGTCCAGGCCCGTCTGAAGTTTGCCAGAGAGCACATGGATTATACAGCAGAGGATTGGGAGAATGTCATGTGGTCAGATGAAACCAAAGTAGAACTTTTTGGTATAAACTCAACTCGTCGTGTTTGGAGGAAGAAGAATACTGAGTTGCATCCCAAGAACACCATACCTACTGTGAAGCATGGGGGTGGAAACATCATGCTATGGGGCTGTTTTTCTGCCAAGGGGACAGGACGACTGATCCGTGTTAAGGACAGAATGAATGGGGCCATGTATCGTGAGATTTTGAGCCAAAACCTCCTTCCATCAGTGAGAACTTTGAAGATGAAACGAGGCTGGGTCTTCCAACATGACAATGATCCAAAACACACCGCCTGGGCAACAAAGGAGTGGCTCCGTAAGAAGCATTTGAAAGTCCTGGAGTGGCCTAGCCAGTCTCCAGACCTCAACCCCATAGCAAAACATCACTGCTCTCGAGAAGATCTGCATGGAGGAATGGGCCAAAATACCAGCTACTGTGTGTGCAAACCTGGTAAAGACCTATAGTAAACGTTTGACCTCTGTTATTGCCAACAAAGGGTATGTTACAAAGTATTGAGTTTTATTTTTGTTATTGACCAAATACTTATTTTCCACCCTGATTTACGAATAAATTCTTTACAAATCCTACCATGTGGATTCATGGATTTTTTTTTTTTTTTTTCACATTCTGTCTCTCACAGTTGAAGTGTACCTCTGGAGCAAATTACTGACCTCTGTCATCATTTTAAGTGGGGGAACTTGCACAATCGGTGGCTGACTAAATACTTTTTTGCCCCACTGTATATGATTTACTCATGAAAGTGGCCACTTTCATGAGTAAATCAAATCATATAAGGCTTACATGATTTACTCTTGAAAGTGGCCATTTTCTCATTACTTTCATATATTTTTTTAGAGAGTATACAAAACATACAAGTTTCATTATATAATTTTTCAAGGGATCTTATATGTGTTTTCACTCTTGTATGCTTTTCATACAAGTTTCATACAAGACAGATAAAAACTTTATAAGATTTATATATATCTTTTCCATATGGGTAGTATGTTAATCTTCCATCTCCCATAGGCTTGTAAATTGGTTGAGATCCAGTGACTGTGAAGAACACAGACTATAATTCTGTGTTTTTCAAAAATTTCAGTGATCTCTTGTGATGGTGGCATTGTCATTGTGGAAGAGACCACTACTATCAGCACTGAAGTATGTCATCATAGAATAGAAATGGACACTCAGAACAACTCTGTATTGATTTGCAGTGAACCTTCCCTCAATGAGGCCAAAGATGATTATACAATAAGAGCAAAATGGCACTCAGAGCATACTGGTCACTTAAGTTCAAGTTTTTTTGCAGAATCTTTTGTGCAGGACATTTGTACTGATGACATATAATGAATATACACTGAATGCAGTTTTCAGTAATTGACAGCCCCCCCAAAAAGAGACAGAGACTTAATTCAGCATATTCAGGGCAGTTTTAATGAACTAGTCACATTGAAGTTCCTGTCTTGAGCTCATTCTCTTTGATCATAAATAGAAATGTATAATGAATGAGTTCCATACAGAAAGACACATTTCATGGAGTGCCTCTGTCAATGTGGCAAAGAGGAAATATTGCTTTGAAGAACATGACAGTTGCCCATCATCTTCTTCTTGCAGAAAGTCTGAGGGTGTGTTCAAAATGCATAACCCAGCAATAGGATTCAGTGCATTGTGTAGCTTCCACTGAAAAAGCATAAAAAAGGCAAACCTCATAGACAGAGGGAGAAAATGCCAGCATTACCAGCAGAAATATAACAGTTATCTACATTTATACTCCTCCTTATGCGTGTAGACATATGCCCAAATGTATGTGCCTAATGCACATTCCTGTATGCATGCAGCAGATATTAGTTTAGTTCCAAAAGGTCACTGCTTAACAGTTTGTATAAATTTTCATTGGATTGGCAGAAATATTGACATAATTGGACGTCCCTAGGAAAAGGGCATAGACATCACGGTGAAATAAAGCAAGATGAGTAATGGTAATGCAACGTGTAAATGAAATAGTGTCTATAGTTGCTGCTGAAGAACTCTGGCTCACACAGCTATCTATTTATATATAGGAAATTCTGCTGTGCACAGTACTCTGCAACACCCACCAAGTAATGCTCCAAAGTGTTTGATTGTTGTGTGCTATGCC